AATATTTCTGTGCATAATGAGTTTCGCAAGAATTATGTATGTGGTGGAGCAGCTTGAGCAGAAGAGAGAGCCTAGAATAGTCAGTGACATGCTCATGATGAGCAGTCATCATTGGGAAAGGGGCTGAGCTGGATGTTGAACCTGGTGAATGGTAGGCAGGCATCCTGACCTCCAGACTGAGCTATTCTGCATTTTCTGCGTGATTCTGCTGGTTCTGCGTGACCTGCTTTTAGGTGGAAGTCTTGTAAAAATGTTGTGGCCACCAATGTAGGCAGGCATCCTGACCTCCAGACTGAGCTATTCTGCATTTTCTGTGTGATTGTAAGGACCTGCTTTTAGATGGAAGTCTTGTAAAAATGTTGTTGTGGCCACCAACAGCTCTGTGGTCAATGGGGAAAATTCTATTGAACCAATTAATGAAACGTGTGTGGTGGGAAAGCAGACCTGCCATGGGAGTTCAGATCTGTGTGCTTGTCTGCAGTTAGACTGACCTTCACTGAGAAATATACTACTAAAATTGAAATGCAAATTTCCATTTTAGTTTTAGTGTATTAAAATATGACTGTAGTTTTTGGAAGCATGAAGAGTTTGGAATAAGCATTCCCAATTGAAAGGAATCAGTTTTATGCGCTGTATTAGTTGGAAATCAAATTTAATGAATAGACAAACAGTCTGCTCTAGGTTGTCTCTGCTTTAGGGTTAGCTTGTAATTTTTATTTGCCCTTCTGTAGGTGGAGCTGTAATTAAAAACAGAAGAGCCTGTCATCTTAGATTTCCATCTCCTGCCAGGTCTCAGGATCCATTGAGATGCACCCTGTTGTAGCACTTGGGTGTTTACTAGATGATTGTAGCACTTTGTCTAATTCTTTTCTGTAGGTGGAGCTGTAATTAAAAACTGTATAAGAAGAGCCTGTCATCTTAGATTTTCATCTCCTGCCAGGTCTCAGGATCCATTGAGATGCACCCTGTTGTAGCACTTGGGTGTTTAGTAGATGATTGTAGCACTTTATCTAATTCTTGAATTGTTCCCATCTTTCTCCCCCCCTTTTTTTTTCTTTTTTTTTTTCTTTCTTAACATTTCTATTTTTCCATAAGGAGAGGTTCTGCATAATTTTTCCAAGTATTTACAGATTTTCCAAGTATGTACCGATTTCTTCCTGTACCTGTCATGTACAGAAAATCACTGGGGATACTGATGCCTTAAATGAGAGTTCCACAGCTGATCTGAGACATAGTGAGTTCATCTTAAAAATGCTACTCAGGTTTAGAAGCTGAGGATGGAAATGCGTTTTCCTACATGGAGAAGGTTCACAGAGATTGAGTTCTGTGCAACTACTCTGGACCCACTCCCCTTGATTTATTATTATTAATATTTTCTAATTATGGGAGGGAAAATACATGCAAGAAGTATGTTGGCAGAGTACAAGCCCGGTGTGGTTTACAAGTTAGAGGTTGAGCCCTTTGCTTTGCAAAGTACATTTAAAAAATAATACAACTTTTTTTTTTTTACTCCTATTGTCTTAAAATGAGAGGTTTTTATAACTTTCCTCTCTATTTTTATCCAAATAAAATTTGGGCATGACATTACCATTTCCAGTCAAATTCTGCAATATTTACCTGTTCTCTGCTGACTGTTGTGTCATTCTTCTGCTACGTGTAATTTAAATAGTAATAAGTATCTTTAAGTAATCTAATTTTTAATTCCATTTTTGTAAAAGACTGTGTGTGGCAAGCAACTCTAGGTTTAACATAAAACCCATTATTGTTTTCTGGTACTACATAGTTGGCCAGATCTTAGATTATTCAAAAGTAGTAAGGACTTGAAATTTAAAAGCAAATTATACACTCATAAGGGTTTGAATTTACATTCCTTTTTTACACTCATGTATTGCAGAGAATACAAGCAAGATTCTGCAGTCCTTGTTCAGGTAAGTTCCCTTCAACTGATCTCAGGCCTTCTTGTTCATTAGGAACCTGAAGTGATAACTGACATAGTAAATTCCCAGTATAGACAAGGTAATAGAACACATTACCAACTTGTTTGAGTACTACTTAGGTGATACACATTAGCTAACGTGATAAAATGATAACTTTTCTTCCTAGTTAAGAAATGCACTGAAAATAAATTCGGGCGCTATTCAAATTAATGGAAATTTTGTAGGGAGCTGAAGAGCTCTGGGAGTTCTGTCTCTGCAGTCAGTGTAGGATCAGTCTTAATGCCTTTGTGTACCTTTTCACATTCTCTTTTTGTGATGCATCCTCTAAATAGAGTTATCTTTTATCAGTATTCAAGTTCAGGGATAAAAGTATCCTAAAATTGATGTTCAAATAGTACCTTTAACTCACTGCAGAGCAGTTTGCTATGGTGAATATTGTAGTAATTCTGATTTATTCTATTTTTCTACCTGGCAATTGTTAAAGTGGCAGTATTTCTCGTATTTTCCGTAGTGGAATTATTGATGTTAGTACTGTAGGTTAAAATCCTGGAAAATGGTGCAGAATTGTGGAATGGTTCAGGTGATCTGATGTTTTGTTTACTTACAAACATGCCAGTTTCTCTGACTGGACAAAATCTTACTGAAGTTGGTGAGATCTGAGAGGCATATTGTGGAGTGTTTGCTTAGGTGCTGAGTATGTTACTGTGTTTCAGTTGGATCACTGCCACTAACAAGTGGTTATTACAGCTATCACTTCCTTGTTTTAAAAGAGATTACCAAAGGTCGCTTTTCATAATGAAACATCATCAGGCACTGAGACTGGCACTGAGACTATGTTGCTGCACTGATGCAGATTTTTACAAAGATTTTGCGGCTAATTTATTTCCTTTTGGGTGATGGAGTTCGGATTTTAGTTATCTCAAACTTTTAGGAATTATTGCTCTAAGCATTGCTTATCTAAAGAAGTCACTATGCAAGCTTTCTAAAAATGTAAAAATAACATTTTACTGCTTTGTATGTGAAGTTGTGCATGAAGTTATGAAAGACTTCAGTGAAAACAAAGTAATTCTTTCATGACAAATGTGAGTATAATTTGAGTGAATTTGAAATTTGGTATTTACAATAGTTTTGACTAAATGTCTAGTACAATAGTGAAAGCTATCAAAATAACTAGCATAATTTCTGAGGAAGCTATCCTTTTTGGTAGCTACTCATAATCTTTACAGGTTCTACAGAATTATAGATACTTTAGAAATGTAGGGACAAGATAAATGCTTATCCTGTCTGCTCCTTATGACCAACAACATACAAGCTGGGTCTTGTAAACAGTCACTTTAAACCTTTAAACTTTAAGTATTTAAACTTTCCTGGGGTTCAAATTTTGTTATGACTGTGTATTTTTTTTAAGAACACATTAATTGTTTCTGCTTATGGATTATGTGAATAATATATACATACATGAAACAGGAGTAAATGGTTTCAGGACAACTCCAATTTCAATGACTGCAGAGGTTATAGACCCTGCATAGGCTACATAGTACTGTGATTTGCATGGCACAGTGATAAAAGCAGTTGCTTTCGTCATAGAATTGCAATATATTCCTTTCTTTATAGGCACAGCAAAGGAATAAGGTAGTTTTAGAGGACCTTTAGAGGTTATGCAGTTTCAAAACTCGAATAGCAATGCGCAGATTTCCAAAGATTCTGTAGAATTAATGCTTCATGTTTGTGAACCTTTTTTTTTCCTTATAGCAAATTGAAATTTCCTGAATTGCACCTTGTAGCTGTTGCTTCCTGCCCTTCTGCTGTGTACTGCTGAGAGGGCTCTGACTCTGCTTGTCTTGGCACTTCCCTTTGGCTAGTGGAAGACTGTAGTTAATCTCGTTTAGCCTTCTGTTTTCCAGATAAAAGAAATGCAGTTTCCTCAGTCGTCTTCAAAATGTCCTGTGCTGCAGACCCTTAGTCATTTTATTGGCACTCTACTGGACTCTTGCCCATCTCTTTGGATCCCTCTGCAAGTGTGGGAATAGAACTGGACACAGTATTGCAGAATGGACCCCACAGTTGCTGAACAGAGGAGGAGAATCAATCAGCTGCCTGGCTATGCCCTAGCTAGTGTGAGAGTGGTGGCTGCATTAACAGTACAAGGGCGCTGCAGTTGAACAGTTGCTTTAAGCAGACAGAAATGCTGATCCCTTCCCCTCTAAGTTACTTGGACTGCTAATTCCTGTCCTCTCCGTTAGGCTGGAACTGCTCTTCTTGTAACCCTGTGGCAAGCCAGAGCCAAGTTGGGAAGCTAATCTAAATTGAAAACTAATCATAATTACAAATATAATAAATATATGTTTAAATAAATAGAATAAATACATACTTCAGCAGACAAAATGGTGTTTTGTTTTCCCATATTTTTTAATTTTACCTGTCTTTCTGTTGGTTGTGGATTTTCTTCCCTGAGACTAGGAAGGATTGCAAAAGTTCCTGCCTGTCTGACCACTCTAGAAATGATGGATTGTTTCTATATGTATTCACAGTAACGTTCTGGTCACAGAGAAGTTGTTTTAATGCAAGTATTCACATACTTGGGAAAATGTTTCTGTGCAAGTGAATTTAGTCAAAGATTATCGGTGTGTTGCTAATTAAGATGTTTAGAAAAAGTATGAGTTCAAAATTGTCATTTCATGTGTGAAATGAGGAAGGTTCAGTGCAGAATCAATCCCGGATTATTTTAGAATGTGACAGCAAGAAGTGTCGTGCCTGTAATATATATAGTAATTTTACAGTATCAGTTTGGAAAGAGGCTAGGAGAAAAGTAAATAATGCAGATGGAGGAAAAATAGCTTAAAGGTGTGTATAATGCCCTCCTACACTGTTAAGAGTGTGAAAATGTTCCTTGTGTTTTCTTGATTCAGTCTCCCATTACCTCAGTGTATGGATAAATTACTCTTTCTTAAAAGTAAAAAACTGCTTTCAATCACAAGGGTACAAAGTCTGTATCATCCCGATACTGACCCTGGCCTGTGGATCAACTTTCCTGCCTTCACTTCCGACCTGCTTCATCATCACTAGCTTGCCTCGTGATCGAGACCCTTGGATGAATGTTTCTGCTCAGGGCTCCCTGCTCACCTCCCTTTGGGGGTGCGGGACAGGTGCTGGCTGATGGGACCCCTGCCTTGCCCCGCTCACGTTGCTCTGCTCCACTCCCTATCCTAATGGGAGCAGCACAGGCTGTTCCTTTACAGCCATAACTGTGGCTTCCATCTGAAACTTGACCTTGATTTGGGTCCAAATCTAGAAACTTGTCAATCTGTGGGAGTCTGTTCCTAGTCATTGTGTCTAGCTGTAATTCACTTGGGATAATGCAGTTGATAGCCCTTTCATACATAAAATGTGAATTTGGCTCAGTGTGTTGTGTAACTTCTGTATAAAAGGACTAAAAGGATGGTCTGTGGCAAGAACAGCAGCAGATGGAAAAGTTCTGTTTAAATCATCAACAATTCTAAGTTAAAATTTGCCAACAATTTGTTTTGTGGAAAGCTTGATGTGATAATTACACAGCGTAGGCTTGCACTGATACACTTATAAATGAGTATCTGTGTGTCTTAAAGTCAAGTTTGTGTTGCTAAAGATAACCTCTTTAGAAACAGGCTGCATGAGTAATTGCTTTTGCGTGTACAAAGGGTACGTCTGGTCGTGTACCTCTTCAGTTGCTTTCCTCAAGAGCAGTCACCATTGAAAATCTGTACTGATTAAAAAGATTTTATCTGGTTACCTGGTTATGTAGGATTTGGATATCTGCCCTGAAACAATAATAAAATTTAGTATAAATAGGTAGTGAGCTTATGTGGCTTGGTGTAAACTTGATTATCCTTTTTGCAGACAACATACCCCAATGTATGGGGTATGTGTATTGGTTCTGTGGTGTTTCACAAAAGCGATGCAATACAGCACTGGGTTAGTATGAGGTTGTATAGCTGTTATTTGGGAATTTGGGGGTGGTGGTAATCAGAACGTGCTGCAGCTTATGTTCAGATGTCGAAGTGCCAGGCGTACAGAGCCCCTAAGACAGTGGGTGCTGACCAGAGCACCGTCTGAACACAGCAAGAGATATGTATTCCATAGATTTGTTTTTGGTGGTGGTGGTATGTTGATCTGCTATATAAAAACTTCTGTAGTTTTTCTGCAGATTAACTCTTTGGTAAATGAGAAACAAAATCCCTGCTCATGTATTTCTTTTTACATAAGCATACAGAATGATGCTAACATTTTTGAGAAATCGGTTGAAGCACAAAGAAAAATGTAATTTCCTAAATGCAATAGCTTGCATTGATACTTTCCATCTGCTTCTGTGGATATTATCTTAGGTATTGTTGCTTTTTATTTATTTATAAATTTATTTTCTTTATGGAACTGTGAAATCATGGATCCCACACAGTAGTCAGATTAAGAAACCCAGATGAATATGCTGTTTATGTAGAAGTCTATTATTTACACAGTATGTTCATGGTTACAAAAGAACTGATAGACATTTAGAAATTGGGTTTATACAATGCTGTACTGCCTTACAAAGCGCTGGGGTTTTATTTCTGAGGAAACGCTAGTTTTAACGCTCATAGAAGTACTGACTGAGCAAAATTCTGTAGTCACTTGGACTTTTCTGTAGCATTTCTCTTTGGTGGATATTCACAGAGATTTCTTTTTGTTTGGTAAAGCAAGGACATTTTACTGCCTTTTTTTTAACAGCAATGTTAGTATTGTAATAGGATATGATGGGATTTTCAAAAGTAGGCATGCAGTATGAAAACATAGAATCTGGTGAGCTTCAGTGGAATTACTGAAGTTTTTGTTTTTGTTTTAAACAGGTCTTTGAAACCTGTGTTTGAGAGATGGATATGTTGTTTATCTGCTACAGGAAATAACTGCATGTTCTGTGCAAACTATGCAGTTAAAACAATGCAAATCAATTTGTTCTTACTAATACACATTTACATTGAAATTCAGTGACATCATAAAATGTCATGCTGCACTTTACTTAGAACTAAAGGGCAAGAGCAGTCAGTTTTCATGCTGGTTGCTGTATGCAGCAGTGAGCAGATGTGCTGCTGAATTGAGGGAGACCTTGTCTTTCTCACAGTGCAGAATCACATCAGGAATGCTGAGTTAGTCTAATATTTGAAGTATTTCTCTGTAGCCACGATGTGTTTTCCTGTTCTTGCTGTTATCTCAGGTGGTAGTGAGGGTTCCTTGCAGTGAAGGATCTTGCTTCACTCTCTCTTCACCCTCTAAGCTACAACGCAGAGGGCTGAAGAAAACTAAACGAGGGTATGCAGGATAGAGAACCACTGTCTGTCCTGTGCTAGTCTAAAGGATAAACTGATGCCAGAATTGAGTTACAGAAAAAGGGCATGAAAAAGATTACAGAATCACAATCACAGAACAGTAAAGACTAGAAGAGACTTTTGGAGATTTTCAAATATCCCTCCAAAAAAAATGAGCATGGAGGTTGAAGAGATCAGTTTTATTTCATTATAACGTACTGTGAAGATGAGACTGTACAAAGATACAGACTTAGGAAATACTAACATGCATTGAATAATTTAACTAGTTGGTTTGGAGGGCGTCTCTGTGGTGAAGATAAGTGAGCACAAAGAGGACCTGAGAGTTATGGGCAGGAAAACGGGAGAACGTGTTACTTTACAGTTGAAATTCTGAGACTTACGATGAACAGGAGAACCAGGATTGAGCAGTCTGAAGCTTAGAGGAAACAGCAATCAGAGGAAAAAGTGATGAACATAGTTTTTAGAGCTGGCGCCAAACTGAGTAAGTGGTGATTAGGAGAGTAGGTGGCTATAATATTGTGAGTGTAAAAATGTGCTGCATCCAGTGAATAGATGGTTATGTGTGGCTTGGGTAATGCAGATGAATTTCCACCTCCTTTTCTAAGGCTTTTTAGGACTCTTACTGTTAATCACAAACTCATTGTAATACAAGTCCAAATACTATGAAGGAGAAACTGAAAGCTGAGTGTATCAGTAACTAGCAATAATTAAGAAGCATTTACTAGAATAACAGTGACCTTTTTAGTGCTTTGCTGTTTATATTGGATATAGTTTTGTTTCTGGATGTAATTGGTTTATCTTTTTGTAATTTGTTTATCTTTGCTTATTAGCTAAGCAAAGTCAGTAAGTCTGAAGATTTTGTTACAGTTTCTGTAGTGCTCACAGATACCTTCACTGGAAATAGTTGTCAGGCTAAACATAAATTTCCACAGAAGAATTTTAATGGGAAGCATTCCGTGGTGCTTTTTCCTGTTCTTTTTTAGTTGCTAAAGTTCTGTTTAATCAGTTTGGTAAGAATTTGTCTTCCTCTACTTCTGAACACCTACAGAGTGTTCTACAGGGTAGAACTTCAAGTGGAATTTTGTGGATCACTACGTGTGGTTGAGTTTGGCTGTGAGAGAAACAATTGGAATGCATATGGTTCTCAGTAGAAAATGCTTGTTAATTTAAGAATTATTAGTGAGTACCAGTCACAAATTAATAAAAATCATTGAGATGCTCTAAAAATCGTCTTGTTGTTGAAAGCAATCTCCTGTCTAATATAAATCAAATATCCATCCTCTCCTTTTTTGCTTTAGTTGTCATGGATGATGACGATGATGAATCCTGTCTCCTTGATCTTATCGGGTGAGTTTTCCTTAACTGATTCTTTCAGAATATTTTGATAAATAGACTTCAGGTTTTGGAGTAGAAGCGGTAGAAATTTTGCAAGCATTGGGCTTGTATTTTGAAAGAGAAAATAAAATCATGTTTTGTTTCTCAATTAGAAAATGCTTAGTTTTTATTAATAATACACGTTTGCATAAAATGTTACTAGAATAGAATTGTGGTCTGCTATTGTTAAGCATTAACAACAAACAAGCACTCATCAGCGTTTTGCACAAAGTTGCTTACAATTAATAAAATAGGTGATTTTCAATGCAATCAAAGAAGTCTATGATCCTATTTGTTTTCATTACTTCCGTAACACATTTGCTTACAACTTTATTGTACATTCATTGTACAGATGAAAATCTCATTAAGCAACAATTACGTAAGCTGCAGCACAGGCAAAAATTTTGCGGCCATTATATGTGGCAAAGTTGCTTTTGGTTAGTGTTCGTGATGATTATTCAAGAACAGATCATCTGCTGTAATGCATTGAAAACATAAGAAGAAATTGAATATCCCAGATACAGTATGTCATTCAAACTGACAAAAATCTATATGACACCAGTCACGCAGCAGCTACTGCAGTATCTTCCACACTTCATACAGAATTATTTACAATCTTAAGTTAATTTTGAATTTCTTACTCAGAGCTTCCAGCAAAACTAGTGAGAGCTTTGACTTCTAAAAAACAAAATGCCACCTCAAAACAGTGCTGTATTTTGGGCATTACTGTGTGGCTGATGTAACAAAAGCATTGCCCACAATGGCTTGTAGTTATATTTTATGTAGTATGCAGTGTAAGTTTACTGATTGTAGCCCTAAAAATGAGAGTATTTATATCCTACTTGGAACAAAAAAATAACCGCTGACTGCATGGGACAATTAAGTGCTCTGTCATGAGTGTTGATATGTAATCATAGTACAAGTTCACAGATCCTGAAAGGAAGTGCTATGTAGATGAGCATTTGTGTGGAAAAAGTTGTGTTCCCTTCCTGCTGCTTGTAGGAATTGCTCCCTAAAGCATCTAGAAGAATGGAAGACTGTTCTTCCATTTTTCTGTCAGATCTCTGATTTTTGTAAGTGCCTTTGAAAATTCTGTAGTTATTTTATTAAAGACAATATGTAAGCTGATAGTGTTTTAACTTTTTAAATTGCATTTTTCATGCCTTAAAGCTGATGAATGCATAAAATGCCTTGATTATGTATCAGTAAAACTCATAAGCATGATAGATGCCTGTATGTGATCTTGAGATCTTTCTCCTTAATTCATGAAATTTGGTGTAATCTAGTAAGAAAATGACACTTTCATTTTCAGAATCTGTGCAACCTCTTTAAATGGTAAGCAAAATTCTACTGTGGAGCCCTGCAAAAGGACTCTGTGTCTGTCTTTAATGTATGTAGTAGATTTTTGAATTCTTTTATATATATACACACATGTGCACATGCATAAATAGGAAACAAACAGAACAGGCGTGGAGGTGTGTATTTGAGCTTTTTAAAGAGTAGTTATAAATCTGGAAGTTATTTAATTTGTTCCCTCTCTATTTTGTAGGATGATCAAGAATGAAGAAGAGATGTTTAGAATTAATGTTTTTACATGGGAAGCTCCTGCTTCTTAAACATGTTTTATTATTGCTTTTAACCCATAAAGATATTTTAAAATCAGAAAATTCTGTTATTTTGCTCTTAATGCTAATGAGCATGTTCAAAAATGCTGTATCGCTGTATTAAAATAATTATGTAACATAACTTCTGAATATATCTTAATAGGTCTGTATGTTCAGTTGTACTGGTGTATGTTTTATCTGAATCTTCAATACTTTATCAGATGTTAAAGATTAAGATTTAGAAGTATGATAATGAATTACAATGCTTAACTAACCAGGTGAGCATTATAGCTGATCTCAGTAGAAAAGATAGTTCATATATTAGTTTTCATATTATTTGGTGATAGTATTTTCCTTACATTTTGTGCTCTGTATGGTCATAAAGTACTATGTATTTTAAGCATATGTAAAAGGAAGTGAAATTGAATGTAACTAAGATTCTGTTAAGAACTTTTTTTTTTTTTCTTAATTGCTTTGTCCCAGTGGCAATGTGATAAACAGATGATGTAATTTTTCAGCTTTTTATTGGAATCAGTGAAGCAGACCTGATTTGTATGAGTAGAATACAGGGCTCAGTTGCCCTACTCAGAGCCTTATTGAGCAGAAAGCTGTTTAAGTAATAACTTCTTTTTTTTTTTTTTTTTTAAAGGGACCCACAGGCGCTGAATTATTTTCTACATGGACCTAGTAGTAAATCTGTAAGTAGCATTCATATTTATTAGACATGTATAAACTTCATTATGTATATTATTTTTGAACATGATTTTTGTGTTTTGCCAGAGCAATGAAGACTTGACTAATGCAGAATATTCTGTAGCCAACTCAAATTCAATTTTCGCCAACTCCAATGTAAGTAGCCAGGAGATAAGTTATATTTTAATTGAGATTGCATGCCTCTGCTATGATTTTATATGTGTGTGTATATATACACACACACATTTTTTTTTAGTAAGGCTGAATGAAGTAGATTTGGGCTTTGAGCTTTTTGGTATGAAAATTCTGAATTAGGACTGCCTCATGCAGTTTATTTTAAGCACTGAGTTTTCAGTGGGGAGTTGAATTAAAAAATAAGTGACACTCTTGAGACATTTCTCAAATATGCAAAAGCAACTTGCTGAGCAGTGTAAATGTTCTCTAGTGTAACTCTACCCAGTGAACTGGACTTGTCATTTTAGTGTTCAGAGAAATATTAGTGCTCAAAATCATACACAGTCATTCATATGTTTCCTGTGTATATTAGAATATTTTTGTTTCTTATTTCTAAATAGAATCTTAAATAATATATTTTTAAACAAATTAGTATTTTTTAGACTGAAAAATTTTCTTGGGATATCCTCTTTCTATAATTCCAGTATTTGGGATTTTTTTCTGAACTATTTCCTGATCCATGGTATGCTTTGAATTATTGCTGTGTATGAACTTTTTATCCTTAAGAAATGTTTTAAAATGTCGCTTAAAATTTATTAGGTCCTTTAAGTCATCTTCAGTGCTTTTTTTTAACCAAGAGATTATTGCAGCAGTGGGCCAAATTCCTCAGGGAGGATGTGTAATCTGCATCTGAGCAGGTTTGTAAGACTCAGCTTGACAGATCCATGGCTGTCATGGATGTCTAGGATAGGCAATAGTCCCGCTTTGAGCAGGAGGCTGGACTAGATGATTTCCAAAGGTCCCTTCAAAGCCACATTTCTGTGATCTCTCTCATTTTTTTTCTTCTTTTTAAAATTGACTTCATCCCACAGTTGTTATTTGAGTGCATGCAGTTGGGTTTTCCCAGTTAATTCCTCTTTCTGTTTTACTGTCTTTGTGACTGTGCATGTTTAGCCCGTGTTCCTAACAGATTTGTGGATATACTGTAGGTGTGTAGGGTCTTTAATTGGCATACATAAGTCCTGTAAAACATGTACTGTGTGTGGAGACCTGGTAGCTTTCTTGAGCCGCAGTATTGTAAGGTTGAAGTATTTGCCCTGCCCTTCTCCTTTCATCCTTATTATTACATATTTAGAACATACATTGAGTGACAGCCCATTCTAGAGCTTACAAGCTAACAGATGTGAGGCGTCATAGCTGAACTGGTTGAGTAGCTGGTGGGGAAAATGGGGTACCAACAAGAATAAGGTGCACCCAATTTTCAACTGCTTAGGAACAGTGGGCACAACTTGATACCAGGCTAGCCATGATCAGACAGCACTTTCCTGTGTACATTATAGCAAAGGTGAGTTTTGAGGAGGCTTCCTAAGAAAGACAAGATCATGGGAAAAAAAGGATAATGTACGACATGGATTTGGCCCAGGATGAACTTTCTAGTTGTTCCTTGCAGAGATTCTTCAAATGAGCATGAGTGTGTGGGTGGGAGTAAGGGGTGTATTTATTGTATATTCTCAGAAGGTGAACTTCTAGAGTAAATTGAGATGAAATGGGTGCTACTGGGCAAGGTGGGACTGTTGGTAGGAATTAGTGTTTGGGAGAAACGAGAATATTCAGTGAATGCCAGAAAAGTTTTCTGTGGTGTGAGGTTGGTGTGGTGATCTAGAAGACAGGGGATTAGAGTAGCAGTTTTGTAGATTGTGCTCCTAGAACTGCCTACTCCCTTTCACTCTTGTGTTTCTGTTCTCATCCTTTTGCATCTCTATAACTAATACTAATGTTCTCTTAGATGAGTTGTATTTAATGACTTTTTCATCATTCCTATTACACACCATATGGGACTGGAATAGTTACAGAGCCAGAGAGAGTAAGACTCTGGTTACTTCAACCAGATAGACAAAGTTCCAGAGGCACTAAATGCCTGTTGAAATTAGTAGGGCGTTAGGTGTCTTTTTAATTTAATTTCATTTTTATTTTATTATTTTTTTTTTAGTTTTTTTCTCCTTCCTTCTACTTAATATCTGGGCAGTAGAGATAGATTCAGCTGATAACTTGGAAGACTCTGAGTTCCAATTTATGCACCCAAATGTATTTTCATATGTTAAAAAGTCCTGGGAATATAACTGTGAATATTGATTGCCTGTAACGATATTACTTAGAACCTGAAAGAGACAGCTAAATTATAGAGATAGGAAAGATTTTGAACTGGATTTTGTGTCAGATGAGATATCTCCATAAAACATGCTCGGCTGTTCTTAGGTAACTGGTGTTCCTTGCCATTTTTGTAAGGAAGAGAGATATCCAGGTTGAATTCTGCTTCTAAGATGAGGTTTCTAAAAGACTAATGTCAAAGCACAGTGGCTGGAGACGCTTTACAGACACCGTAGGGAACCCTCCGCAGGAAGCCGACAGTCAGCAGTGCTGATGGAACCCTAGTTAGAACCTCCTTTTTCCTCTGTCTGGCACAGTCCAGAACCTAATTTAGGTGTTCAGGAGGTACAGATATCAAAATGTTTAAGTACCAGTTTCATTCCATTTGTTAACGTATATTTAAAGAAGATTTTCTACAATTTTATAATTGTTTGTTGAAATGTTTTACTGAATTGGAACAGTTTCTTAATGTTCTAAGACATGAAGGAAGTTTCATAACATAGAATCAGGAGGAGAATGGGGTAGAATTATAAATAACTATAATAACTAAAATTCTAAGCAGCTATGATGTTTGGGGAACTGGAGTTAGGAGAGCTGATAATTATGCCTTGCAGCATCTCCACCCTGTTAAGATCAGGTGAAAACAGATGTCTGCTGATCTTCAATGAGTGAGGGTTCAGAATATGAACCTGCTCGTAATTATACACGCACATGTTGTATTTGACCTGGTTTAAAAAGAAATTGGATTTTGTTTTGGAATAATTGAATTAAGATTTTGGAATTTAGAAAAATGAGCTGTCTACCTTAACTATTTTAAGTGATCCATATCCGTTTAAATTTGACATTTATAGTCCTCTTTGGAAACCTGACATCAATGTTGCTGTGCTGAGCTCCTGGACACAGCTCTGTGGCAATAAAATGTTACTGACAATAGACCAAAGTAAAGAAACTTAGGATTTTCTTTATCGTAATACTTATGACTACAGATACAAGGATTTTTTTGTTGAAGGTGACCTTTGATACTAGTTTAAACATTTATATCTCTCCATAATCTCTTTAATAAAATACAACAGAAAATCTGTAGCTTTATTTTTCTTACTGCTTTGTTTCTAAAATTCTTATAAAGATTTATCTTTGTTCCTTAACTTTGAGGTGGCTGTTAGCTTGTTCTTTGTGGCTGATACTGGCAGGATTTTGGAGATTTGGGGTCTTGTTTGATAGAGAAAGTCAGCAAAGAGCACCTTTCTCCCACCTCTTCCCTGCTAATACTGCTACTACTATAATTTGCCCCAAATTCCAATTACGGTGGAGGTCTTTTTCCTCTTTCTTCTATGCTCTAGTCCGTCAGATGCTCAAGCTGGGGGGCAGGGAAGGTGGTACCTTGAGTGTCACATGCTCTAGAGAAAGGGCAGCTCCAGAGCAGAGATCTGTGTGACTGAGACGTTGGAGGAGTGCGAGGAGAGGAGAGTCCCCAGCAGTCTGCTGTGGGACCCAAGTGATGTGTAAGGGATACAAGTTTGTGCTGACCCCTGCATGGGGTGAATGTTACTTGATAATATGCCTAGGATGCAGAGGATATAATTTTGTAGGAGAAGTTTGTTTGCAAGAAGAATCATGGTGGGGGGAAAAAAGCAAAGCTTACAATTTTTGAAAAGTAATTTAATTTTCTTGTTTTTTATGTTTCAGAACACCGATCCTAAGTCATCTGTAAAAGGTGTGAGCAGCCAGCTTGGTGAGGGGCCTAGTGATGGACTGCCGCTGTCCAGTAGCCTTCAGTTTCTTGAAGATGAACTTGTTTCTTCTCCTTTACCTGATCTTAGTGAGGATCAGCCTTTTGATATTCTTCAGAAGTCCTTGCAGGAGGCCAATATTACCGAACAGACTTTGGCAGAAGAGGCATATTTGGATGCCAGTGTAGGTTCTAGCCAACAGTTTGCACAAGCTCAGCTTCATCCTTCTTCATCAGCATCCTTTACTCAGGCTTCTAATGTTTCTAATTACTCAGGTCAGACGTTGCAACCTATAGGAGTTACTCAAGTGGTACAGCAACCTGTTGGAGCATCTTTTGCAAGCAATACAGTTGGTGTGCAACATGGCTTTATGCAACATGTTGGAATTAGTGTTCCCAGCCAGCATTTGTCCAATAGCAGCCAGATTAGTGGTTCTGGGCAGATACAGCTAATTGGTTCTTTTAGTAATCAGCCTTCCATGATGACCATTAATAACCTTGATGGATCTCAGATTATACTGAAGGGCAGTGGACAGCAAGCACCTGCAAACATGAGTGGTGGCCTCTTGGTTCACAGACAGACTCCAAATGGTAACTCTTTGTTTGGTAACTCAAATTCAAGCCCAGTAGCACAACCCGTAACCGTCCCATTCAACAGCACAAATTTTCAGACGTCGTTGCCTGTCCATAATATCATCATTCAAAGGGGTTTAGCACCAAACTCTAATAAAGTTCCCATTAATATCCAACCAAAGCCTCTCCAGATGGGTCAGCAAACTGCTTACAATGTGAATAACTTGGGAATACAGCAACATCATGTGCAGCAAGGGATTCCTTTTGCTTCTGCAAACTCACCTCAGAATTCAGTGGTTGGTCCTCATATGTCTGTTAATATTGTCAATCAGCAAAATACAAGAAAACCAGTCACGCCTCAGACAGTCAGTAATGCTGGAGGTAGTATTGTTATCCATTCTCCTATGGGGCAGTCGCATGCACCTCAGAACCAGTTCCTCATACCTACAAGCTTGTCTGTTAGTTCTAATTCAGTTCATCATGTCCAGGCCATAAACGGACAGCTTTTGCAGACTCCATCTTCCCAGCTGGTTCCTAGCCAAGTGTCCGCTGAGCATGTTATGCTGAACAGGAACTCTACAAACATGCTGAGGGCCAACCAGCCGTATTCGGGACAGATGCTGAATAATCAGAGCACAGCTGTTCAGCTAGTTTCCGGCCAGACGTTCACAGCTCCTGGAAGCCAAGTTATAGTGAATCATGGATCTTCTCAAATTGTTGGTGGACAGGTGCCACTGCAACAGGCGTCGCCGACAGTGTTGCATTTATCACCAAGTCAAGCTAACGTTTCTCAAGGCAGATCTGGTTTTACTACAATGTCACCTGGGCAGTCTACAGTCTCAAATATGTCTGCGCCGAATAGATTTGCTGTTGTAAGTTCTTCTGGTTCGGGACATCCCAGCCTGGGACCACCAGCTCAGTCTGTTGCATCAGGAGGAAACTTCACGGGAGATCAACTCGCACAGAACAGAACTCAAGTCTCTGCGAGTGCCGGGCATCGTCTTCCAGCATCCTCTTCCAAATCTGTGAGCACCTTCAGTCACACATCAGCTGGAGTAACCCAACAGCAGTTCGCTTTCAGTCAGGTATGAAAGCTTCTTGAGAATGCAACTGAAGAAATGTGCTTATACTGTGCTAAAAATGGGTGAGCGAGGCTGTGTTTATGCTGGCATTAATACGTTAATTTAGCTGGTTTATATTAATTACAAATATTGTGGAAATGCTTGGAAGTTCCTGTATTCCAGTAGAAGTCATTCAATATTTTATAAAATAAGTATCACTAAGTGAATGAGAATGAATGAAGATTTCATTGTTGGCTTGTAGTGATATATTGAAAACTGCTTAGTGATGATTGTTTTTTCCTGCTCCCACCTAAACTAATGAGGACTGCGAAACCCTGGGCACTCCTGAAGATCTTACTGTAGAGCTAGGACTAAACTAGAGTTTGGGGTACATTCTTAACATCTATAACATCTTAACACCTTTTGACTTCAGTAAGAAGTATGCATCTGTTTTCAAGATTGGACCTGTTAAATTAAAAAAGTTTCTCAGGCCATGTAACTGTTATTTCACCGTATAAATTTAATCCATTAAAGATGCCATTTTGATACTTTTGTCCACTACAGTTTTGTGTTTCTTGAACAGTTCGTAGCTTTCAAATTTGAAATTAAGCAGTCAAAAAACAGCAAAAGGTGTTTCTTGGAACAATTAATAGGATATATTTTCCATGGCAGTTTGTAAGAGAGTATCATTTGAAAAGTATATTTTCTCTAAGAAGTCAAGGAAGGGAGGCAGGGGGGAGAGAAAGGTCTGAGTGTGCTTGTAAGATGAGAACGGGTCTTATTTTTCCAGTGGTTGTAGTTACGATGTATATATTCAAGTTTTGGCTTTATTTAGAAAATAAGGATGGACCTGTTGTAGGACCATGTTTTTGTCTTTGCAGAAACTGTTAGTGCAGGTGATAAAAGTTGTTTGTAGATGGGTAGTATAAAGCCTGCCTGATGGACTCTTCATGTACATCTTCCAATTTATATATGTGCTGAAGTCAGTGAGATTTGGAAAAAAAAAATCCCATTGCTGTGAAAGAGCATTTTATTTGTCTGTTGAAATTTCAGGGCCATAAAATGAAAATGCATCCATGGGTAACTGCAGAGATCAGATTCTGCTGTTTGCAAGAATCGTTTTAGTATGTTTGTGTTCCCATTTGAAATGTTATACTGTAAAATATGCATGATTTAGTCACTAAATACTGCATAGTTTTTGCCTCTGCATGTGTTTAGTTGAGACAGATTTATTGAGACATTTCGCTTAGATATATTTTGCAGTTTTGAGACTCTTAAAAGTACACCTATCTGAAGGAAACTTTTAGGTAGAATCCTGGGAAATAATGGTTCTTATAGAGTCTTTTTTAGCTATACTTTTTGTCTAATATCTATTCCTGTCTGATGTAGTTCATAAGATTCTTGTGTTTAGCAGTAGGGATTGAGATAGCTGAAACTCCACTACTTACAAAGTTGAGGTGAGAGAGAAGTGTGTAGAGCTGATGAGCTGTAGCTGCCTTTTTTTTTTTCTCCTACTCATTTTCTCTATTAAAGGTTTTGGTAAACATTTCACTGACATGTGTATGCGATCTTTTCACAGGCACAAAAAAAATCTATGAGCCAGATGTCACCAGTTTCTGCATCAAAGACACAGGATAATTTGAGGCAGCCTCAGCTAACAAGTCTTCTGAGTAACACATTATCAGGTCAACTAAGGTCTTTTTATAATCATTTTTGCTAATTCCTCCTGCAACAAAAATTGGTTATCCTTCACAGGGTCAGGCTTGAATTGATGGTGTATTCTGTTAGGGTCCTACAGGTTATCAGAATTCTGTATTTAGAAGAAATCAAAGCAAGTTTTTTTAGCACTGAGTGAGTGCTTTTGTTCTTCCCAGCCTGGACAGCTAATAATTCTGCTTCATTTTTCAGACTGATAAGTGAAATATATGCACTAAACAACTATTTCCTCTGTATAAAACTCAAATTTGTTCTCTTTTATTTCTCTAGAGTTTTTTTCAGCTTAGAACATTAGTTATTTTCAAAAGATGGGTATTTGCGACAATATTCTCTGAAACTTCTAGAGCTCCTCTTGTGAGGGCTGCTTCAAATACGGAAGAATAAAGAATAGTGGTTACAAGGCAGACTTTCCTCACTGGATTTGCTTTTGAATAAGTTTTTTACCTTCAATTAGGATTGTTAATGCATTGGTCATGGTGAAACACACAGCTTTTAAGTGGCACTATGCTACTAGGAAACAAAACAAAAAAGCAACAGCCAAAAAATGGCAGATTATGATAGATTCAAAGCAGACAGAGAAAATGCAATGAGCCTTCTTGTTCTCATTGTACATAAATAACCTGGGACCTGAATAAGATCCCATCTACTTGCTTCAGTTATTTATTTATGTGTTTATTTCTTGTGTAGTGGTATGTGCAAGATGGTCAGGCATTTGTTAAAATCAACACCAGTGTTTCTGAAGAAAAAAGTATATTTGTTCTTTAGGTTTTGATTATAGTGTGTATGACTGATAGAATGCTCTTTGAATTTCCAAGCCAGACAGTTGGAGGAATTCTAAAATTGCATCTAAAATCAAGAAAAACTAATAAGGCTACTATCTAAATATTTTTAAGAGCTCTGCAAAATTCAGGTTGATATGTTAGGAGTGTTGTGCTAGTATTGAAAAAAAATGATAAAATATACTGTGTTATTTTCAGTAAACTTCTGGCTTGTTATACACGTGATACTTCTTTCTTTTTTTTTTCTCTTTTTCTTTTCTTTCCTTATTTTGCAGTAGCTTGGTAGAACATTCTCTACAGCGAAGCATTTTTATAGTTTGGGGCACAATAATATCAGTCATATTTCATTTTTATGTGCCAGTTTCTCTGCAGGGTTCTTATGCTAGGTTTTTTAAGCTTATGATTAATATATGTTTCTTTCTTAAAAGCTAAAAACTTCAGTAACACTATTGGGATAGGGACCTGAAATTTATTCTGTTCTCGGTTAAGATAACAGTCTTTTTAACATATGTTTTATAGGACAGGACTCTGGAGGAAAAATCATACCGCAGTCTCTAGGAACAGCACAACTACAACAAGAAAAAGTAATAGGATCATCTCCTGTTCAGCAGAATATACAGGTAGAGAGTCTTTTTCTTTTTTGGTTTTCCTTTAAATTTTAATGGAGCAGTTTGATGCAATTTGACATACATGTTTTCCCCTATATTCCTGACTGTAACGCAGAAAGTATGTAATGTAGTGCTAAATTTTGAGTTCAGTTGGTTCTTTGAGTTATTGTCCTAATGTTTTGAGGTACCTTCAGTAAGAGGAATGCCTTCTCCTATGGTGGTGTGTGCTAGAAGCTTTTGACTAGCAAGAATCATTGTAGTGTATTTGCTTCATGTGACTTCTGCCATGCCAGAAAGGATGCGCTGTACTGCATGCTTGTTTCTTCCTGCTAATTTAAAAGAGCTTGTTATTTGCATCTGAATCATAAATAACTAGGATAAATTGGATCCAGAATATGATCACTTTGGGAGTCTTTGGGTTGCAATAGTGCCTTCCATACCGTGGAAACATGTGCCTCTACCACCTCAGAGCCCTTCACATCCCAGGGAGTGATTCTCTGTAAAACCTTGTGTTCTTAGATGTATAAGGAAAGCAAGAAAGCTGCCCAGTTCTTTGATGGATATATCTGTAGCACTAACACTGAATCAGAGCTGCTAGGGCTGCCCATCCCAGCCACCATGACCTTTGAGATTTCACATCTTGAAGCCGTAGCATGCTCCTCTGGCAAGTCTTCTAATCCATCAAAACTGGGCAAGAAGGCATCAGCTGAGAAGTGCTGGGAAATTTTGCTTCAGAAGTTTTTAACTGTATCTGTCCTTCTCTCACCTGCTAAATTTGATGACCAATGTTTTTCCCAGTGAAGTGTGTGTATGCACCACAGTGCAATCTGCCTATAAGCAGCCTATCTGTCCTATCTTGGGTTTGCGCAAGAGAAGCGGCTTCCCTATTTCATTGATCCAGTGCCCTGCAAAGATAAGAGACAGTTGAAATTGATTTACTTGGTGACTACAGTTAATATTTTTAATATGCTGAATTGGCAGAGATGAATGCTGGAAAGCCTAGGCTTTGCAAGGGAGGATGTAATATCAATTTAATTTGTCTTTTATTTTGAATTTAGGTGGATGGTCATATCATTGGACAGAAAAGGCCTGCATCTAAACAGTTAACTAAAGGAGCTTTGTAAGTTACATCCTTCTTCTGTAATTTTGTTGCAAACATTCTGTTCAACCTTTATCTCCTGTTTCTTTTTGCCAGTGTATAAACTTCTTTTAGGATTAGACTGTGTTAATTATAAATATCATTAATTTTCCTTGCAGTATCCTACAACAATTGCAGAAGGATCAGGTGCATGCTGTGACACCAGATAAAAGCCAATTCAGATCATTAAATGACGCAGTTCAGAGACTCCTTTCATATCATGTGTGCCAGGGATCCCTGCCAACAGAGGAAGACTTAAGAAAAGGTAATTTTCTTCTGAAAATTGGAGTTAAGGTAATGAATGGATCAAGAGAATTCTTTATGTAAGTTAAGCAAAAAGAAAGGAAACATTTTAAAGTTTGTGCAGGTTCCTGAGACTTGTGGTTACTGAAGAAAAGTATTTTAAAGTATTCTCTTGTCTCTTTAGTGGACAGTGAATTTGAATCTGTAGCTACACAGCTTCTGAAGAGAACCCAGGCTATGCTGAACAAGTACAGGAGTTTGCTTCTAGAAGATGCAATGGTAAGGTGGATAATCCAGTTATATTTTACAGGGTATGATTTAGTTTGTATAAATTGCCTTGAATCAGTAAACTAGTTGTATTTTGCCAGTAAAAACCTGTGTTTCTGTGAGCCCTGTAAGATGGTTCATGCTTATATAAAGGATCCTGATACTACTTGGTAAATAATTTAACCTGAATTTGTCTCAAGAGAGATCTACTTTTGAAGGTACTTCTTAGTATGGAACAGGGGCTTCAGAAAAATACTTGAAATAATTCTCTGTTTACAGTTCTGTAGTTGAAATTAGAGCTGGGATCTTTTCCTAGCATCATCTCCCATTTCTTGCTGTTCTTCCTGTTTTCAGATCTCTGTTGTAGAGCATGTCGCTTCTGTCTGGTCCTCTAGCACTGTGCTGCATCTACTGCAGCACAGTTTGCAGAGCTCCCACACCTCCCCTGGAGTAGACTGTAAGGTGCATATGCTTGGGGTGGGATAACTTTCAAGAGCATGGTCCCAGCTCAGTAGGTAATGCCTACAGAACTAGTAGAACTTACTGCTTAGTATCCTGCTTCAGGAGGGTGAGAGCTATCACTTAAAAGAATTCATGTTGTTGATACCATTTGTTACTTGCATGTGTACATGTGCAGTCCGATTCCAGCTTAGTCTAGCAGCATGACCAGTGACCATATATCTAAGTATATATGCTTGTATCCTAAAACCAAAGAAACGCGCTGAGTCCACGCTTCATGGAATCATAGAATGCTTAAGGTTGGAAGGGACCTCTAGAGGTCATCTAGTCCAACCCCCTGCGCATGCAGGGTCACCTAGAGCACATGGCACAGGACTGCGTCCAAGCGGGTTTGGAAGATCTCCAGAGAAGGAGACTCCACAACCTCTCTGGGCAGCCTGTTCCAGTGCTCTGTCACCCTCACTGTGAAGAAATTTTTCCTTAAGTTCCTGTGGAACTTTTGGTGCTTCAGTTTGTGGCCATTACCTCTAGTTCTGTCGGTGGCCACCATTGAAAAGAGGCCAGCACCATCCTCCTCACTGCCTCCCTTGAGGTACTTTGGCCTTGTTGAATTGCATGAGGTTTTTCACCGCCCAGTTGTCCAGTCTGTCCAGGTCCCTCTGGATGGCAGCACAGCCCTTGGGGGTATCAGCTACTCCCCCCAGTTTGGTATCATCAGCAAACTTGCTGAGGGAGCACTCTGTGCCCTCATCCAGGTCATTGATGAATAAATTGAACAGGACTAGAATTCACATATTGCCTTAGCAAAGAGGCATTGCAGGCACAGGAGCTGCTGCTCTCTGTATGTGCTTTGCTCTTGCTCTGAATGGCTCTGTAACCAGGTGGGTGGTTCCATGGAGTTAGGGTTCCCTTACATTCCTGCAGGTGACACTGCTTGAAAGAATGTTGAAAAGTTCCCTTCTGAGGCCTCAAGCCATTTGTAAAGCTTTTATTATAATTTGTAAAATCTTCATCAAATACCATATGTATTTGTATGTATATGTATGTACCTTAAACTATGAATAATACTTTATTTTTGGCTGAGTTTCAGTAATGCTTGGGGTCACTGCGAAGATTTTTTCAAGATTCTGTACAAATGTGGCAGTTTTACATTTTACAAATGTATGTTGGTCTCTTCCTTTGAAGTGTTACCTCTAAGGGATAAGTTTTGGTTTAGTACAGAACATGAAGTGACTTCAGAGATGGTTATATTTTTTTCCTTTTCTTCCAGCGGATAAATCCCTCTGCTGAAATGGTTATGATTGATAGGATGTTTAACCAGGAAGAAAGGGCCTCTCTGTCCCGGGATAAGCGTCTTGCACTAATGGATCCTGGTAAGTAGTGGTTAACTTCAAAGCCTTAAGAAAGCAGCATAAGCACAGGGTGTTAAAAGTACCTGTGACTATGGTGACAGTTAGGGATTCTACTAATTGAAATTCCTAATAAGCAGTTACAACTTAAATTTTAATAACTACCAGATTTAATAATCTAGAGACGCTCTAAAGTTGAAGATGGTTGTTAGGAAAAGGAAGTACTGGGCCGGTCAACAGAGAAATATTTCTGAAGTTATTCTGACCATAATTGTGTTTCCTTGTGGTGTCAAGTCTAATTTGGAAGAATCTCTTTGAGTTTGCATGAAGCAAAGACATGTATGAAGTGTGAATACTCTCGTTCATCTTAAAGAAGTGTTGCTTTTAGTTTTAAAATTGTCAATATACTTGTCAATTAAATGTCGTTTTGAAAGGGTAGTTTTGTTAATGTTCTGCATATTTTAAAGGATATTCAGAGGGTGTATGACAATGAAAGTTTAGACAACAAAATACTGTTTTTGTTATGCCATATTTTGGGTATGTAGAATGCTCAAAAATGCCTGTAGTTTGACTTTACAGTACTGACCACTTACATGGCTTGCTGGCTAATTTAATGATAGTCATTAAAGCATTAATGCAGCAGAACACTGAAGCCTATGCTTAAGTTTAGGCACAGCTCTTAAGCTCTTAAAGACCTTCTACTCTATTAATGTTATTGAATTTTAATACTCAGTAAAAAGTTGGAATCTTGGTTGCTCTGGTATGTAGGTAGCTTAAATAAAATGTTACTGCTCTAATTTTCAGATGGTTATCAGGCCGATTTTTGTTGTTCTGCCAAGCAATTTGATAAAACAGCTGATGAAGCACAGACCAGCAAAAGTGACCATCCGTCTAGCAAAACATTAACCTCTCGAAGTCACACTGCAAAGATCCATGCCAGAGACCGACCAAAATCCAGCTCAGCAGAGTCCACAAATCACAGTAAACTTCCTCTAGTGCCTAACAACATTTTGACACCACAAGAAGGAAAGATTTCTACTAAAAAATCAGAGGGTCTCACTAAAGCTTTAAAGTTTGAGAAGGCTAATTGTTCTCCTGAGAGCCAGTACATGGCCCTTTCTGAAGAAAAGGGGGCTGGCAAAGACCTGGCCAAGTCAGTTGAGAATTCTTCGAGTTCTGAAGACTTGTCAAAATCTCTGTCAAGAGCTGGTCATACAACACACAATAAAATATCAAGGAATATAGTTCAATCTTACTCAAAAGTGACCTGTAATAATTCCCTCCAAGATAAAACTCTGCGGAGTTCTCCAAAGAATGAGGTTTCACATCCTGATAACATGAAAGGCTCTGGTGAACCCCAGCAAGACTTACTGCTCAGTAAGAGTTTAGAAACTACATTTAAAAACATCTTGGAACTTAAGAAAGCTGGGAGACAGCCGCAAAGCGAGGCGACTAGTAGTGGCTCTGTTGAATTAGAATTTCCTAATTTTTCACCTATTGCTTCACAGGAAAACTGCCTGGAGAAATTTATTCCAGACCACAGTGAAGGTGGTGTAGAAACTGACTCTATTTTAGAAGCAGCTGTAAATAGTATCTTAGAGTGTTAATAGTTGCAGTACCATGGACAAGTGATGTTTCTCTTAGCAGAAGCAAATGTGAATGACACCACAAGTACAGCCTGACATATGTTTAAGGTTAACCTTTCTAAACTAGATTCTGTTCTGTGTTTGAGAGCAATACTCATTGTGGTTACAGTGAGATATCCAAGTAAAGTTAATCCTTGTTAGAATGCAGTCTGTTAGGGCCTTATTTCAAGTATTATTATGATAGTGCTTTTGATAATTGTGCAGAACTGCAACGTAACAAGGTTGCAGGTCCTTAGGCCCTATGTAATACGGTAATATACTGACAATCACAGTCATTTGAAAGGATATATTTATTAAGAAAATGTTTTTAAAAAGTGATGGAAGCAACAATTTTTCGCTACCCTTCTCTTCCACAGATCATCAAATTTATTTATTTATATTTTTTCTGGAAAACCCACTGTGCTCCTATTCATGCTTTATGAATGAATCCGTCTGTTCTGGGAGTCAGAAGGATGTCATCAGTGTGTGTACAAGGCTTCATACTTCCAAGTGCTTTTCTATTGCTTTCTGAGCAGAAGCTAGGACTTGATGAAATATTTGTAGTGGGTAAGTTTAGTCTGTGGGATGATCCTATATGATCTTAGTCGCAGTGGCATGCAATGAAGTAATAACTGCTTGGCTAAGGAAGGTAGAGTGGAAGCCAGTGAGTGGCAGAAGTGTACAGGATGAGGCCATGACAGAGCCATGAATTTATATATATAATACATATATATATGTTAACTCTTGAGGAAAAGATTTTGCATTTTATAATTGGATGTAGTCAGCCTTGAGTCTTTCTGAAGTGGTATTTTTTTTTTTAATTTGTTGTTTGGTTTCTTTGTTTTGTTTTGTTTTTTTTAGACCAAGTGTCAAAAGCACTTTTATTTGAAAACTGTTATAATATTAGTAGCTTATATTTTAAGAGGACATTAGCCTTACTCTGATTAAATTTGAAGGCCAGTGTTTATTTTTGATTTTGTTTTTTTCTTTTTGCTCTCAAAGAATGTTAAATCATACACGGTAGCAGTCATAATTACTGAGATATGTACAGACCAAAGTCAATCATCAACCCCATTATTAAAACATATCTAAAAGAGTGTAATTATTAATTCATATTCTAGAGCCAAATGAAACCATTGCATGGTTTGCATTTGGCTTGCTGTCGTGTTGGTAAGATAGAATCTTATTATTTTATTTATTTATTTTGTTCTATGACATCTTTCTTTTTGCTGCCCATGCTGCTTTTTACTAGTTTACTTTGGTCATCAGTGCTGTTGTGCACATAAGTACGCTGACATTAGTCGCGTGCGTGTAGTACATATGTCCGCTCAGGAGGATGTAGCTTCGGTGATTTCTGAGGTGTGCTCATGTTCTCTCCCAGACCTTCCCCACAGTTCCTTCGAGAATCTGCTTTTTTCCAGACTTGCCTGTTGCCATGTTCCTAGGCATTTTCGTAGCGGCTCGTTGTGACAAGCTCTGGTTGTTACATAGCCAGCAAAGAAAACAAAGGGTAAAGTCTTGCTATCATGTAAATCAGCCTATCTGAATACTGCAAAAGAAAGCAGAATTAGATCCTTGTGACAGCAGAAAATTACAGTGCAAACTCGGTGCTGAGTTACAGTCCACTGTCTGACCGCTGAAGGAAACCAAATCTAGAAAGCAACGTGAGAAAGATAAACTTATTTAAAGCTCATTTCCCCTTGAACATAAATGGATATGCTGTTTTTTTGTATGTTATGAATTGCCATTTAAAAAAATGTGCCAATTTAAAAGTACATGTTTGTAAAAACCCAGCATTCCCAAGTGTTGTATAAAATATTAAAAGTAATAAGTATTGCCAGTTTTAAATTTCTAGTTAGGTGTCAATAGAATAGACTCTGAGGCAGTTAGCTGTTTTCTTATTGGCAAAACCGACGATACGGACATCACCTATTGCCTTTTTAGATTAAATAATATGCTTATAGCTGTGTATGCTGATGCGTGTGTATTTTATGATCTTGGAAATATAACCATTTGAAACTATCTAGGAAGGAAAAACAGTAAGTTACACAGCTATATGTTGACTAACTAAAATTTTCTTTAATAGGAAAGACAGACAAGTTGCACATTCATTGATCCGCTTGCTTTTTGTACCACCTTAAAATGGGTATGAGATTTCCAGCATCTGCAGAGCGAATATATAAGTGAAGTATGAGGCTACGTGTCTTTTACTGAATTTTATTTTGGGATAGGGGACAATGGCATACACGAAGGACAGATTGCGAAGAGTGATCACTGTTGATTTGGTCATACACATTACTCTGAGTTACTTACGAGGGGAAACCATTGACCAATTCTGGCAGGATCCATCCTAGATTGTTAGTGTTCTGTTGTTCACTCCTTGGAATTCAATTCTAAAGGAATTTTGGTACGTTGTGAAGCAGTAAATGAAAGAATTGTATTTTTGTTGTGCTTAGAAAGTATGAATTTATTAATCATATGAGCTCAAATCCAGCAAAGTATTGTGAATGTGCATGATTTGAAGCGTTTTCATTATTTTGCTGGATCAGCATTGTGATTTCAATGTTATTTAATACTGCCTAATATTAAAACAAATTTTAAACTGGCAATTAAGAAAATATGTTCATTTTGAAGATCTTAGTATAATTTATCTGTTAGATTAGGGAGGCCTTACAGACTGACTTCACCTAAGGAGGATGTGTCACTTATTGTCAGTGTGGTATGGACTTTATTTGCTTAAATACCTTCATTTGTAAAGTATGTCTCACTTGAAATTGCTTTGTATACATTTTGTAAAAATATTTATAAAATGTTTTGTAAAAAAAAAAAAAAAGTATAACAAATTGCAGTTTATTTTGTTATGTTGGATAAATACTGTTAAAAGACACAAGTCAGTAAATATATTGTTAATCCATGGATAGGAAATGTTTAGTTGGAGATTACAAATTGAAACAACCATTGCAATACAGCCAAAGATTTGGGAAAAATGTTTATCTGTGATTGTCTTGATTTAACCAATTTGAATATTTACATTTCCAGAAGAAGATTCTTCTCAGTTTTAAGTAATATGGTTGCAACGTATCCTTCTGTGCTTTTCCTATTGCAGCTGTATTATAGATTTTTAGTAGACCTGCTTTTCATATTGTCTGTGTAACTTTCTGAACATAGACTGTTTAGACCAGGTTCGTATAGCGTCATAACAACACGCAGCAAGGCTGATCTCAAAAGAACAAGACCAGCAGTGGTCGTGCCCTGCTGTCTTTGCAAATCCTGCCGTGATCTGATGCCGTCTTCCCCTTTGCATTTGCACAAAGCGGAGGCATCGTGTTCCTGATGCCTGGGGGCGACAGCAGAGAGGAGAGGGACTGCGCAGCCCCGTGAGCGCTCGGAGAGCCCCTCTGGGGGCTCCAGGGAGCCCTGGGCTGCCCTGGGTGTTCCCAGCGGGGCGAACCTGAGCGGTTGTGCCTGCGAGGCACAAAAACCTGCTGTCGGAATGCATCTCACGTGGATGCAGTGAGTAACGAGACCGATAAAAGTAGTTACGTATTATTTTAATGTTTATGTGGATTAGGGCGGCTAAACCACTTGGTTTTTCTTTTTCTTCTTTTGCATGTCCCCATAGAATTACCAGGAAAGCTTTCTGGATTGTGAAAGACTTGATATACAGCTTATTATGCAGCTGTCTTCACTTTAGAATTTAATTTTGCTACAAAAATATGGTGTATATTTAATTGCCTTGTAGTAGCATTTTTATGAAGGGGCTTGTTGTGTTTATTCCAACACTCTGGGCAGAATTTCTGAACATCTGGGCATATGTGTTTATGTATGGGATTTTAAAGAAAGTCCTAACCTGTTTGCTAGTGAGCATCCATATGAAGAAAAGTTAATGCCAGAATAAGAACCAGAATTCAGCACAAGAATAGGTATGTATGTATGTAAGTTAAAATGTTAGAGAAACTCTTCAGGAATTTATTTTTCATGATTTTTTTTTTCCCTTTAAAATTGCCCTTTTGTTTTTTCTTGGAGTTTTCACAATGAGGTCTTTTGTGAAACAGTTCTAGCAAGTAACTGTCCCCAGGACTTGGGTCAGTTGTCATTTTGGTTTGAAGAAGACCCTAGAGAAAATAAAGCAAGCAAGTAGCCCTGCAGATCTGAACATCACTGGTGCAGGGCACGGTACGTGGGTCGCAGAGTACCGTAGTGGTGGCTTTGCTCAATTTCTTGTCTACAATTTGTGTGTCAGTAACTGAGCTGCTGCTCTTGCAGCTTGTCACCTTCCTGGAAATGAGTAACAAAGTGTCTGCAATAACCAATTGAAATAGTAACCACTTAAGTAAAGGCGAGAGAAGCCCGAAGATCAAAGAATGGTAAGTAGTTCTTGAAGCATCCTGTTGAACCAATATTTTTGATTTAAAAATAATATATTTGCTGAATAAAGAAAACTCGGTTTATTTTTTATAGAATTGAGATTGCACTCACAAATTTGTCGGAATACATGTTTTTCAAATGGAGAAATAATTTAGGTCTCTTCTGTAGAATACCCCCAGCTTTACCTTATACATAGATTTCATGTAGGTGAAGGCCACTGTTTCTGGACATTATTCAACTTCTGGAACGTCGTACCCTGCCTTCACTGCTATTGTACTGCAAGAATTATCTTCGGCTTGTAAAAAGAGGTACAAAGTGAGACCTTCTCATTTGAGTTACGTTGTTGTAATTAGTGAAACCACAGCAATTGATGCCGTTGGAGAACGCAGCATTCTGAAGAGGAACAAAAACTCATGGCGATGTGGCTAGACGGCTTTTAATGTTTCAGTTAGCTTGTACGTCTTTATAGCATTACATATGTAATGTAGTCGTAGCAGAGGGGAGCTTTTCAAAATGATGCTGGGCTCTTGGCTGTGCAAGTTGGTTGTTGCCACGTAGTTATCAGTATTACAGTTTGACAAGATAGTGACATTTCTTTTTAAGTTGCCAAAACAGTCTTGCCCTGGTCCAGCTGCTGAGTCTCTGCGCGCCACTGAGATAGGGTACACTGGTAGTGTATGGAGACCCAGCCATCCTAGGAATCTCATTCTGAGATGTGGTAAATTCAGGGTAAGAAAGGCCTTCAAGGAGTTCACCAGTGCACAGTACGGTGAGGAGATTATAAGCGTGAGCTGATGGAGTTGCCATTTAGGTGAGGCTAAAATGCTATTTGGATTGCTGCCATCAAAACTGAATTTGAAATTCAACAGCTAGCGAATTCTGAAATACAATTGGAGAAGGAGGAGAAAGCTGAAATCATTAAAATAACCCATGTTATTCCTGGGCTATGACAACAAATGCTTGGGCACCATCTTTGCAGTTGGATTCTCCTTGTCTTCAAGCTATGAGAATTA